CCTGCTCATAATTATTTTGCACTAGTGTCATAAAACATCTGGAAAACTCTAGCGAAACGTGCTCATACTCCCAGTGCAGTAGAACTGAAGGGTTTATTGCCGAGAGAACCCCAAAGTAGATTCAGAACGAATGTCAGATATACGTAAAGAATTGAGTACCAAACATTTACTTGATTCACTGCAACCCAAAACCCGTACGTGCGACAACATGCAATGACCATACGTGCGCACTCGGCCTTTAAAACAATGTTTGCATTGTTCTTGGCTATGCCACATCTGGTCGATCGTATTGGAAAATTGACCACGCCCAAGCGTACCCTTCTTCTAGCCAAGTCCCAGAGAGGGATGAGGCAACTAAAGAGAGGTGACCAATGGAAAAGGCTCGCTACCTTCCGACACTTTCCCGATTAGCAAATTCGGGACTCAGCCAGGAAGGAAGTGGAAATGAAGGCGTGCATAATCTATTGTACGACCCAAGGTCAACCTCTGATTGGTTAATTAATAAAGGAAGAAGGGATCCCAAGTGGAGCGGGACCAGTGAACCATTTAAGAAGGGACTACGTAATGTACCCTCACTTACTCTTTCCAAATACTTCTTACAGTGAAGGATATAAGTCACGACCAACTCTCACGGAGGAGGACCGGAGAGATGAGTCGTTTAGCTAGCTGAGTTTTAATAAGAAGTTCTTTCCACTATTGTGAATATTCAATATATAGTTAAAATTGATCTCATCAAGCTTTAGATAACATAGGTTCTGAGATTCTTGTAATCTCACTTGGAGAGAAGGAAGGAACTTAAGAGCTACAATTATTGAAAGGGAACTAACTTCACATCAAGCCAATCAAGAGAGACTGGAAAATTCACGATACACTTCAAGTAAGTCCTGATTTTTGCTAGTACTGATCCTGCTAGTACTCATTCTTGATTTCTCAGCTTATGTAGAAGACGGACGGATAAAGTCCGATTAGTGAAGCTTCCCAAACATGCTCTAAAAAATAAGACCAACAATAGACGCCACACTGTAACGAACAACGATCAGTTGTTGACGTCACAGGTGGCGCACAGCTTCGCATAACCTCCATTTAGGCTCTCTTACGACCGATATTTAGAGGCAACTGCACACGTGTTGAGATAAAACACAATAACATTGCAGTGTTCGATCAGAGTACTACAATCACCATAACCTCTTAGTGATAATATTCAATAGATTATAACCTACTTCTTGTTACAGTAAATCATAATGTAACCAGTGACATGCAGAGAATAAGACATTGATTATCCTCTAATTATCCAATGAACAGATATGTCTCAACGCCACAAGAGTATTAAGAAATATAAAGGTCATTTGTAATTTCACCATGGCTAATGATCCCAACTTGGAAATAAAGTAAAATAAATGAATTAAACAGCAATAATAAAGATATGTGTTAATTATTGAATCGATGCATTAACCCTTTACTTGCCCGGCAACCCCATACAACATCTAGTGGGTTTTTTTTGTTCCAAGTTGATTTTTGCACGTTTGGCTGACGAGTCAGATTGTGCAATTATTTTTTGAACACGTGTCTGTATTATGAATAGAATTAATGTCCTAAGATTTACAATATAAATGAAATTATTATACTAAATTTATATTTTCTTACAATAATGTGTATAATTATTGTTTATTGTGAATTTTATTTTTATTAGCGATTCGTATAAAGTTTCACTAGTCATTCATAAATATTTAGAGCAATGAGCTTTAGTAACTAATTAAGTAACATAGAATTATATTACCGAATTATAATTCAATAGCGATTTATATTAATTACAAAATAGTAAAGATTTTCCATGCGTCGCGATAAAATAAAAAATAAAAAATTCTTTTAAATCATAAAGCAGTATAGAAGCCTACGTCTTAATGATCACAACTGTATGTAAAATGTAATAGATTAACGTTAAATATTATTAAGATGACTATTTGTCCTTAAAAAAAAAAAAAAAAAAAAAAAAAAAAAAAAAAAATTATAGCCTACGTAGGTTTTGTCAAAGATTGAAAAAAAGAGTGCTTGAGCATGATGAAAACTCTGAAAAAACGACTTAAAATTAATTACGATTCTATAATTAAAAATCAAAATATTTTAATTTAAATACACGATTTATTGCTCTTTGAGAAATCGAAAAAAAAATACGAGGAATAATAAAAGTTCTCTCCTCTCATTTGCATTTTTCTTAAAACAAATTAAAAGTTTACGTAGATAAAAATTTAATCTATTTGAATGATATTTTGGAATTTTAATTGCCTATAACAATATAGAAATGTAAACGAAAAATTAGATGAAAATTCTATGAATATTTTATTTTAGCAAATTTGAAAAAAATATATATATATATATAAAATTATTGCAAATAATGATAAAAAATTCTTTTAAAAACCATCTCCTCATTTACGTTCCAATTTATAAAAAAAAAATTCATTTACAATAATGCGATGAGCTTCATTAATAAATTTTGTTTTTCCATAAAAGGATTATTTATAAAAATCGTTTTTATTATTATTACCTATAATTAAAAAATAAATAAGTATTTTTGTTATTGAAGGGAAAAAAACTGAATAAAAATTGTAATTAGCAATGTCGATTAAGTATTAAATAAATGACTATTTAGGTGTGTTTAGCGGGCTTCTACTCGGCTTAATCTCATATGTAAAATAAAATCAAATTAATTATATCGAGATATTATGCTTTTATAGGAATTAGTTGAAATTATTTACATATATTTTAAAAAGAAGCTAATTGTAATAATTATTCGTGTGGAGAATTAAGGTTCAAAAGATAACGATCAGATATGTTTGTTCAAGAGATTCAGTTCATTAACAAATGTTAATCTGCTTGAAACTGTAATGATAATGTGAAAATTAAGCGAGAAATAGCGAGAATCGCAAAAAAAAAAACGCGAAACAACTGCAGGCTAAAATGAATGTAATGAATGTAACAAAAAAAAAAAAAAAAAAAAAAAATATATATATATAACGTTAATACGAGAAGAAAGATCGCATAGATCAATAGAGAAACAAAGACAAAATAATCAGGCGGATGTTCGATGACTAAAAAATGTGCAAAAACGGCACATTGAATATCAGCGTTATTTTTCTTCGAGAAAAGCAAGAATGACGTAATGTGTAAAATAAAAGAAAAACTTAATAAATAAATAAAGAAAATAGGAAAATGAGAAGAACAATTATGACGTCAGGCGGAGGCGCGAGAAAAGAAATCTAGGGTCGAAAGATGATTTATCAAATAGAAAATTATGAATCTCTATTTGAAATTCACGTGTTGGCTTATCTTCGTAATAATCCGTAATTAAACCAACAATGATGATATACGGATGCTAGTGCGTCAATAATGTCATTACACGAGATCGAGCAGCCGTTAAGTTGTTTGTCGGATGTCCCGATATTTTTCGCGAAGCGCATCGTCTGAGAAATACGTCAGACGGATAACGTAAAAATGCTTGTAATTCCCAACAACGTGCGCTACAAACCTTTTTGAAATATCCGCCAACGTATCTCGTGACGAGTCTCCTACCTAAATATATCATATTAAAGTCTTCCTCAACTACGTGCATATCCGAGAATACAAAAAAGGACGGAATATCAACTGATCCAAAAGAATCCATCGACTTTGCCACGACCGCATCCAACACTGAGCTCTCGCATTATAATCGCGTAATCTCTCTCTCTCTCTCTCTCTCTCTCTCTCTCTCTCTCCGTACGTTCAAACTAGACGTTCAGACGGGGAAAACTTG